AGAAGGATGATGCTCAGTTTTTGCAGAGGAGACAAGAAGACTGTCAAAAATTGATGTGTATGTAAATTGGGTCGACCAACATCCTTTTTATAGATTGGTCTCAGATCCAAATGGACACAAAGGTGTCCTTTCAAATAGGAGCCTCTTTAGAACAGTGCACCTGTTCGAAGAGGCATAGAGAAGAGACAAAAAAAGAAAGGGAAAACAATTTTAAAAACTAAATTCAAAATTCGAACAGACACCTATTTGAGTAGACACAAAAACATTTAATTCGAAAATTCAAATCCGGTTAAAAGGTAAAAGTGATTCGGTGTATCGCGCGTATACACCCGCACCCTGACCTGACCCGACCTGATTCCGCCCGTAAATGTGAAAAAGCACCCCCATCCCCCCTCGCATGAATGGAATATCTATAGTGCTCTCCTCCTATGGGTCCCTACCCATAAAGAAAGCAAAACTATAGATATACTCTACATCTACTCCTTTCCCAAGCAATGTGGGACAAGGAGTCTTCCCATGCACTCAAGAGTGGGAAGAGGAAAAGACAAAAACAAGAGAGGGATGAAATAGATTCTTGAAATTTTAAATTTCCCTCCAACAATCTCTGTGAAGTTGGATGACACCAACTACATTGTTTAAAGATACCAAATAGAAATAGCCCTTGATGAGAATGCAAAATATCATATTTTTTCCCTTAATGTTTAGTCTTTTATACTTATTTAGTGCCTAAATGGACTCATTATTCTTATATTTTGATTTAGGTCACAAATGGAGGCGCTAAGTGAAAAACAAGGCTAATTGGGCAATTCTGGATAGTTTCAGCACCGCGTCGTAATTTGGGAATAACTTTCTTATCCGTACTCCGATTGAGATGATTCATGATTCTTTGGAATGATAAGGAAAATTTCTACAACTTTCATGTTTTGAGTATTGATAGATACTAACTGCATCGAGGTTGAAATCGGGACCGAGTTAGTTGCAACCGCATTGCTGACGTGCTGGAAACGTTCCTTAGCCTGCAAGTTTTCATATGTGGAAATCACCACTCTCCCACTTACATGAGAACTTTGTTTTATCTTATTTTTGAATTTTTTCTTGATAAGTCAGACTTGGAGACTATTATCTAGAGAAATTTTAGGAGATTTTGTAGGCTTCTCTAGGGAGAAGTAGAAAGAAAGAAAAGAAGAGGAAAAACAAGAAAGAGAAAATCAGATTGGAGCTGCTGCACCTCTCTTCTTCTTCTTCACTTCTTCCTTGAGTTTTCACCATGACCATGCATGGCTAAATTCTGATAGTTGGTCGAAGGAAACAAAAGCCTCAGAATCAGCAAAACTATGAGATCTAATTTGATTTTTACTGTTTGATTTATGCTTTAAATATTGAATGTTCTTTTATGTTTATGTTCATGATTGTTTTGTCTGATTGCTAGGAGGCCTACTAGTTTATTATTCATTGCAATCTACTGCTAGGTTAGACATCAGATCCGTAATTGTTTGATCCCACTAATCTCTGAAGCAACTAGGGTTTAATGATTTGTTGCGTCAGAAATTGTTAGATCTTAAGAAGAACACTCGACTGAATTAAATGCAACCGCTTGTGCTTGTGTTCTTTAGCTTCATCGATCTCTAATGCTTAAGGCTACTGCTGGATTAAATCTTTAACGCTTGTTTAGGGATTGTTCAGTAGTAAGGGTTAAGAGGATCGCTTGTTCTCTGATTAACTGTGATTAGGGAGATATAGGAAAATAATTCCTACGATGAATATTCAAAGTGTGAATTGATATATCTTTGCATCGATGATCAATAGTGAAATTCTGATGGTGGATGTTGACTTAGACCAAGACTCGTTCTTTTGATTAATTTTGGTATTTTGATTTGCATTGCTCTCATTTGATTTTCTTTCTTTTTAAATATGGTTTTCGTTACACTCAAACCCCCCCTCCATCTTTGTTCACGTAGCACAAAATACTAAGCTAGATACTCTTTGTGGGAACGATCCTTACTCGCACTACTGCATTTATTTTTAGGAGTATAGGTTTTATTTTTGGGTGCCTATGACAGCACGCCAAATTTTGGCACCGTTGCCGGGGAGTTTTTTCTAATCGGTTTTTGTGCTTCTTGTGATCATTATTTCGTTTTTCAAATTTTCAAAAAAAAAAATAGAGATCGCTTTGATTGTTTTTGTTTTAGCATTGAATTTTTTCTGTATTATTTATTTATTTATTTTCATCACTCTAGATTTTTTATGATATGTTGTTCATGGTTTATTAGGGTTTCCTTGATTTATGCCTGTAACTCGATTTTCTAAGCAAGGTGATTTGCAGTACGATCCAGATATAGAGGGAACTTTGCGCAGGTTAAGGAGGGAAGCTTGGAGTATTTCTAAAGAGAACGATTCAGCTCTTGATTCCCTATCTGTTAGCAGTTTTGATTTGAGAGAGGAGGAAATCATGGCTGCAAATCGAACTTTGAAAGAGCTTGCCGCCCCTGATTTGAATCAGCAACACTTATGCATAGCGTTTCCTGCTTTAGATGCTGATGCTACTTTTGAATTAAAATTTGGACTGATACATCTCTTGCCCACTTTTCATGGTCTTATAGGTGAAGATCCTCACAAGCATCTAAAGGAGCTTCATGTGGTATGCACGAGTATGAAACCCACGGGGGTGACTAAAAAGCAAATGAAATTAAGAGCCTTTCCGTTTTCTTTGAAGGATTCGGCTAAGGGTTGGCTCTATTATCTATCATCTGGGAGTATTACCACATGGAATGAGATGAAGAGGTTATTTTTGGAGAAGTACTTCCCAGCTTCAAGGGCGGCCAACATTAGAAAAGAAATTTGTGGTGTAAGGCAATACAACGGAGAGTCCCTACATGAATACTGGGAACGTTTCAAGAAATTATGTGCAAACTGCCCCCATCATCAAATCAGTGAGCAACTACTCATCCAGTATTTCTATGAGGGTCTTCAACCCACTGATAGGAACATGATTGATGCTGCTAGTGGAGGAGCTTTAGTGGACAAAACTCCCGAGGCCGCGAGAAACTTGATTGCAAATATGGCGGCCAATTCTCAACAATTTGGCACTAGGCTTGACCCTGCTTCAAAGCATGTTAATGAGGTAAATATCTCTTCTCTTGAACAACAAATTGCGAGTCTAACTTCTCTTGTTCGTCAAATGGCTATAGGTAATATGCAAACAGTGAAGGCTTGTGGGATTTGTTCGGTAGTAGGGCATCCAACCGATATGTGCCCAACTCTTTAAGAGGAGCCCATTGAGCAAGTGAATGTGGCAGGTGGTTTTTCAGGGCAACCGCAAAGGAAGTATGATCCCTATTTGAGCACATATAATCCGGGATGGAGGGATCATCCCAATCTCAGCTATTGGAATCCACAAAACCGCCCAAGTTTCCAGCAATATCAGCCGCACCACCCTAGACAACAACCAACCCAAACTTCTAATTCTGGTACGTCTTTAGAGGATATTGTTAAATCTCTTGCCACTAATACTTTGCAATTTCAGTAGGAGATGAGGGCCAGTATCCATCGTTTGGACAATCAGATGTGCCAAATGGCAACAACAATTAGTTGGTTAGAGGCGCAAAGTTCAAGGAAATTACCCTCTCAAACAGTTGTGAGTCCAAGAGAAAATGTAAGTGCAATCGTTTTGAGAAGTGGTAAAGAGGTTGAGATTCCAGCAAAGGCAGCCCTTACATCGTCAAAGCAAGAAAAGGAGAAAAATGTCATTGCAGACAGGAACATTCCCAATGACGATGACGTACCCAAGTGTAAGTTTCCACCTCTTTCTAATTATAAACTGGTACCTCCTTTTCCTCAGGCTTTAGTAGAATCTAGAAAAGATGAGCAATTTAAGGATTTTTATGAAACTTTTCATAGATGAGAGGTAAATATTCCCCTTTTTGATGCTATTAACCAAGTACTTTGTTATGCTAAATTACTGAAAAAACTATATACACATAAGAGGAAATAGAAACTGAAAGGATGTGAGAAGGTGAGAGTAGGGGAGAATGTTTCTGCAGTTATTCAAAGAAAACTCCCTGCAAAGTGCAAAGATCAAGGTATGTTTACTATCCCTTGCATGATAGGTAACACTAGAATTGAGAAGGCCATGTTAGACTTAGGAGCTTCTATCAATGTCATGCCATATTCTATATATGCTTCTTTGAAACTTGGACCTTTGAATAAAACTGGTGTTGTGATTCAATTGGCTGATAGATCTAATGTCTATCCTAAGGGTGTAGTTGAGGATGTTCTTGTGAAAGTAAATGATTTGGTTTTCCCTACTGGTTTCTATGTGCTTGATATGGATAATGGTGATCAAACCACTCCAATTTTGCTAGGAAGACCATTCTTAAAAACATCCAAGACTAAGATAGATGTTCATAGTGGCACACTCACCATGGAAGTTGATGGTAAAATTGTTAAGTTTAATATTTATGATGCCATGAAATATCCTAGTGATGATAACCCTGTTTATTCTATAGATGTGATTGATTCTTTAGCACAAGAAGTTTTTGAACTTGATGGGAATGATGGATTGGAAATTTCCATTCGTAAGCATCTTGAGAAAGAGGAGTCGACGTTGAGTGCTGATTTGCAAGAAACTATTATAGCATTGAATGATTCTCCGAAGTTACAACAGTTAGGTAACGTTCCTTATATTATGTTACCAATTCCTGATAGGAGACCTTTACCCTTTATTTTGAAGGCCCCTATTCTAGAGTTGAAGCCTCTCCCCAGTCACCTCAAGCACGTGTTTCTTGGAGATGGAGAGATGTTACCCAGTAATCATCTCCAGTAGCCTTAGCGCACCATAAGAAGAGAAGCTTGTGCAGGTTCTTAAGGAGCATAAGACAACTATTGGCTGGACGATTGCGGATATTGAAGGAATCAGCCCGTCTAAATGCATGCATTATATCTTACTTGAAGAGGGAGCGAAACCTTCCTGTCAACCACAAAGAAGGCTGAACCCACCCATGATGGATGAAAGGGGAAAGCACAGGAAGTTACAACTACAAGAGTTAGAGGAGATTCAAAATGATGCCTATGAAAGTGCAAGAATTTACAAGGAAAAGACGAAGGCTTTTCATGACAAGATGATCTCTAGGAAGGAGTTTAAAGTTGGTCAAAAAGTCCTTCTTTACCATTCACGGCTTCGTCTATTTACGGGTAAGTTGCATTCTCGTTGGATTGGACCCTTTGTTGTTACTATTTTCCTCATGGTGCAGTTGAAATTCAAAGTCTAGCAACTTCTAAAGCATTCAAGGTGAATGGCCATAGACTCAAGCATTTCTATGAAGGCTTCCAAGTAGAGAATGTGGAACAATTGCATCTTGGGGATCTGGTTTATGCTGTTTAAAAAAGGGAAGTTTGTTTTTTCTTTTTCTTCTTATTTTTGCATTTATATTTTAGTTATTTCTGCCTTTTCTTTGCATTTTACCTTACATTGGGGACAATGTAAGTTTTAAGTGTGGGGGAGGGGATTTAGGTTGCGTTTTAAAATTTGATTTAGGTTGTGTTTTAATTCTGCATTTTTTTTTGAAAAAAACAAAAAAAATAGTTTTGCTCTTTGTTTTTGTGGTCTTCAACGATTTTTTTAGGTTGTGTATGCCATGAGCAAGATTCAATTAAGCTTGAAAAGCTCATAACATGATTGGATAAGTAATCTTCCAACTTAGAATTAGTTAGTCTAGTTATTTTCCTTGAGAATGGTAGTGACTAAATTTAGTAGACAAAAGCTGGTGAGATTTTGAGCCTTTGGACTAACACATCTATATCAGTCTCACTATTTTCTTTCATGTGAGATATTCTTCCATGGATTTGTTTTGTAGAACTTGCCTTGATTCTCTTCAAGATCACATTGACACAAGCATGCATGAACATGATTAGGCCCTTTTTGTTATAAGCTACATAAGCCAAATAGCCTACTTTGGGATAAATTATCCCCTTTGTTGAACCCCTTTGTCGTTCATTGTGAACCCATGTTACAAGCTTTAAACCCGAGAAAAAGATAATATCCTTACCTAAGCCGTAGAACTAGTGGAGCATTATTCATCATTATGATATGTATGGATGTGCAGGTTTTGAGTGTGGGGGTGTCTGGATTCGTGGTATGGTTATGGATGGTGAAATGGAACATGTTTTCATTCTCAATTTGTAAGTTCCAATGATTGATATGCTTGGGGAAAAAACAAAAAAAAGAAAAAAAAAAGAATGAAAAAAGTAACTAAAGATGAAAGAAAAGAATGGAGGAAATTGCTTTTGATGTTACAAACTATCCATCTTCCTCCTAAAATTTGAAGAAAAATGGGCTACTTATACATACAAAGGTGGAAGTTGTTGTGAAGGATTGTTCCCTGGTGCAAACAAAAAAGCGTTCCTTTGAACGATCTCTTTTCCAATGTAGGAATTTTACATGCTTTAAATGCATTAAAGCAAAATTGAAGAAGTTGCTGAATGGAGTAATTGGTTTGACATGTCTTGTACATTCGAGCTTTAGATGATTCAGTTTTGCTCCACTAGTTTCAATGGCTTTTGAGCTACATTTCCAAATATTTCCTACCTTAACCCTAAGCCACGTTACAACCCTTGAAAAGTCCTTTTGATTCGTGTTATGCATGTGATCCCAGTGGTGGAGAGTGAGAAGATATGCAAGCCTATGATAGATCATTTCCATTGGAATGAATTTGAGCGAAACACATACCCTTCAAACATGAGAGTTGAGTGTTTATTTCTGTGAGGGTCTATGTATTTAGTTTATTCCATCTTCGAGTGGAAATGCTTACTTAAGTAATTAAAAGTTGTTAAGAATGTTTGTTCATGATGTGTTATGAGTATTGAAGAGCTTGGTTGTTCTCTGTTGATGGCACTATGACTTTGGTGTTTTTGGGAAAGTGAATTTGAATTTTGCCCGAGAATGAGCAAAAGCTAAGTGTAGGGGGATTAAAAATTTGGCGTGCTGTCATAGGCACCCAAAAATAAAACCTATACTCCTAAAAACAAATGCAGTAGTGCGAGTAAGGATCGCTCCCACAGAGAGTATCTAGCTTAGTTTTTTGTGTTGCGTGAACAAAGAAGCAATGCAAATCAAAGTACTGAAATTAATCAAAAGAATGAGTCTTGGTCTAAGTCAACATCCACCATTAGAATTTCGCTACTAATCATCGATGCAAAGATATATCAATTCACACTTTGAATATTCATCATCGGAATTATTTTCCTGTATCTCCCTAATCACAGTTTATCAAAAAACAAAAGATCCTCTTAACCCTTACTATTGAACAATCCCTAAACAAGCGTTAAAGATTTAATCCAGTAGTAGCCTTAAGAATTAGACATTGATGAAGCTAAACAACACAAGCACAAGTGGCTGCATTTAATTCAGTCGAGTGTTCTTCCTAGGATCAAACAATTTCTAATGCAGCAAATCATTAAACCCTAGTTGCTTCACAGATTAGAGGGATCAAACATTTACGGATCTGATATCTAACCTAGTAGTAGATTACAACGAATAATAAACTAGTAGGCCTCCTAGCAATCAGATGAAACAATCATGAACATAAAATAGAAGAACATTCGATATTCAAAGCATAAATCAAATAGTAAAAGTCAAATTAGATCTCACAGTTTTGCTAATTCTGAGGCTTCTATTTCCTTCGACCAAGTATCAGAATTTAGCCACGCATGGTCATGGTGAAAACTCAAGGAAGAAGTGAAGAAGAAGAAGAGAGGTGCGACAGCTCCAGTCTGATTTTCTCTTTCTTGTTTTTCCTCTTCTTTTCTTTCCCTCTACTTCCCCCAAGAGAAGCCTACAAAATCTCCTAAAATTTCTCTAGATAACAGTCTCCAAGTCTGACTTATCAAGAAAAATTTCAAAAATAAGATAAAACAAAGTTCTCATGTAAGTGGGAGAGTGGTGATTTCCTTATATAAAAACTTGCAGGCTAAGGAACGTTTCCAGCACGTTAGTAGTAAGGTTGCAGGTACTTCTGGTCCAACTTATACCTCGATTCAGTTAGTATCTATCAACAATCAAAACTATAAAGTTGTATAGTTTTTCCTTATCGTTCTAAAGCATCTTGAATCATCACAATCAGAGTTCGGATGAGAGAGTTATGCCCAAATTATGATGCGGTGCCGAAACTTTCCATAATTACCCAATTAGCCTTGTTTTTCACTTAATGCCTCCATTTGTGCCCTAAATCAAAATATAAGAATAATGAATCCATTTAGGTACTAAATAAGTATAAAAAACTAAACATTAAGGGAGAAAAATATGATATTTTGCATTCTCATCAGCCCTGAATGCCCATGATCTGCTAGACTATGTTAATGGATCTTCCCCTTGTCCTTATTTTCTGGAGTCATCTTCCTTAGTAGCTCCTTTAGCCCCAATAGCCACATGTATTATGAACCCAGCTTGCGCCTTGTGGGAGAAACAAGATTGACTTCTCCTCAATTGGTTACTCTCCACTTTGACTCCATTAGCATTAGCACATGTTGTTGGAAGCAAGAAAACTCGGCAAGCCTGGCTTACACTGGAGAAATTATATGCTCTTCGCATCCAAGATCGAGCGGTCAATCTGCATAATCAACTCAATCAACTCAGATCTCTTCAGGAAAACAACAACACCATGTCTCTCTATCTCCAACAAATCAAGACACTTGTTGATGAGTTAACGACCATTGGAGAATTTCCTTCGAGCTATTAGTTAATTTCCCACATATTAAATCACCTTAATAATGATTATGATGCACTTGCAACCATTGTTATGGCTAAACCTGATGATATCTCCTTCGGTGACCTTTATGGTATGTTGTTCACACATGAACTTCACCTATCCAGAACCAAACCATGAGTTGACTCGTACCTTATTGTCAACGTCACCAATTGCAGCTTGGGTTGACCTGAACCAGCTTGATTGTCTTCTACTAATAAGAAACCATCGAAGTATAGCAAAAATCTACACAATTTTTATGGTGGAAAAAATCATTAAGTCAAGTACTGCCGCAAACTCTAGTCTACAATCGAGTATCTGTGCAATCAACCTAAGTCTCCCTCAACCTATGTTGCATCTAGATCTACTGATCATTCTGCTGATTATTGATTTCTAAACTCTGGAGCGACAGATCACCCAACAAATGACCTGCACAACCTTCATATTCACTCTGACTACACTAGTAATGAACAAATCAAAATTAGTAATGGTCAAGGTTTGGGAATTCATAATATTGGTTCTTCTACTATTCGAACTCCATCAAAACCTCTTTCTTTGAACAATATTTTGCATGTTCCAGATATTAAGCTAAATCTTTTATCCGTCTCTCGGTTTATATTGAGGAGTTGACCAACCCTAGTGAAGGGAAGGGAGTTCCATCATATGGATGGCCGAACCATGCAAGGTGGCTGGGTGAAATTTCAAAAATTTCTTTTCCCTTCTGGGAATCCTATTCTTTGATTTAGAAAAAATGCATTTTTCAAGGTTCATTCTTGAAACAAATCGGACCAAATCTAGAACCAAGATTAGGGAGAGGAATACTTGATATAAAATCCACAAAAAAAAGCTCCTCCCAATGTAGGTTTTCAGGCCCAAAGTGGTTACCAAATCCTTCCTCCATTGAAGGTGACACAACTTAGGGTGAGGCAGGATCAACAGGGAGATTCTTCAACAAGAACCCCAATTCTTCAGCAAGAATCACATAGAGATGTGACCACAGCTTCAAGATTGTTTCTTCCAGCAAGAAACAATATCAAGATCCAATCTTAATCACTCCAAGAAATGGAGATCGAACAAGGTAGGGCAGCAAGAACAAAAGGAGAGAGAATTGAATAAAGAAAACTGTGAAACTGTGTAACCTTTTTCAAGTTCGCCCTCCTCCTTTTATATAATCCTTAAAGAGTTAACCTCCTAATCTGATTAGGAGTTTCTTGATCCAAATTTTTATTTGGATCTAGACTCTTTAAGTGATAAGGCTTATCTCTTATCTTATCTGTAGATCAGGATCAACTTCTCCTAATCCAATTASAAGTTTCCTAATCCAAATCTTTATTTGGATCTAGACTCTTTAAGTGGATAAGAGTTATCCTCTTATCCTTATCTACTAATCCATACCCAGATTCGCCCCCTTATTTAATTAATCAAATTAAGCCCCATATGAATTGGGCTTTAGGCTCATTAAGCTTTTAGGCTCATTTCCCTTTCAGTGTTTGGGTAGCTTGGCTCTCTTTGTATGGCGTGGGACTCTATCATTGATCTCCACATAAGTCACATGGGTTCAGCCTAGCCTCTTTTACAAGGCATGGCCGAATTCACTGTTGAATATAGTGAACCCCTTGAGTCCATCAGTATGGGTTCTTAA